CGAGCGGCGTTACATCCAATACTCTTGTTTCCATTTCCAAATGTCAGAGGATCTTAAACGTGGTGGTAATGGTATAAACGTCCCATCCGAACAACTAAACACTTTGCCTTGCCAGGTTATCCGCCCTTCAAAAATAACACGGGGAAACATGGCTGGAAAAGTGCCCGGTGTCCCTACTTACCATACTCCAATGTGCAAACTTACTTCTATAATTAGGAGAGAGAGAGAGAGAGAGAGAGAGAAATGGGGTTTAACGTCCACTCGACACAAACTAGGTCATTCTGGGACAAACACATGGTTCAATTTTATTTCAATAATTCGAATGCGCGTAGGGGTCTTTAGCAGTGGGAGGAAACCGGAGGAGCCGGAGAAACCCTCCTCTTCTTAGACATGTTGGGCGAAGCGGTTCCTCGAAATTTTCCTCCGTGGTTTACCCTTGTCAGTGGTGTAGGGCCTTGCAAAGTACAGCGTACAACCATTCAGAAAGGGGGGGGGGGGGCGAGGTCCCACACGTTGGCGTGCAGATAAGGAAATCCTTGACAGTTGAAAATAAGAGTAGACCGTAGCGCTCCAGAAGCTGTCAGGGCAAAATTTCCCTCACAACTAAATGCATGATGTATATCTTCATTAGCCCTGTTGGTGCATTTCAGCATGTCGTTTCCGGCGTGGTTTCCCCTTGTCAGTGATGCAGGACGGAGGGCCTGACAAGGACAGTTGTCTAGTCATTCGGATGAGACGAAAAACCGAGGTTCCGTGTACACATTGGCGTGCACGTAAAAGATCCCCTTGACAGTTGGAATTCGATATAAGAGTATATAGGCCGTAGTGCCACTGTCCGGGCAAAATTTCCCTCATAGCACACTCACTATATGGCGTATGCCCGTCTTCATTAGCCCAGTTCGGAGCAAAACAGTAGGACGTTAAACCCCATTACATTTCATTTCAGCATGTCGCCTTATTCGCCGAGTAATGAAAAGCCTGAGAAAGACATTATGATTTATATCATGTCTCCTATAACAAACTTGATCATCTGATCCTATATCAATATCTAATACACACACTAGTTATGTCGAAATAGGCAAACAGCGGAGGACAATAAATTTATATCAGTGAACATCCATCTTGCAACCATGAGTCATGCATAATATATTTATATTTTTAAGTTTCTTTCAACATAGATTAAATAAACAAGAGTTCGGTTTACTGGGTAGATGTTTTGATTCGTAACTATAGAGTTTGATCGTTATACATATTAAATCACATAACTTCCGAAATTACTTTATTCTGTGCAATGTTAATACAGTTTGATACCCATTATGTGCTTGTAATCAGATTTGCCTTTAAGGTAGAATCCCAGAACAATTGTGGTCTCTATAGTATTATCCCATCCGACTGATAGTTAGAATACGTTTCTCCTATTTACAAAACGGGCAAATAGGGTGACTCTAAAAACTAGTCCTGTAAGCTTTAGTTCATGTCTTTGTAAACAAGTCCTTACTGTTGCATGTGGAAGACAGCGAGTTACTATATCAGATCAATTTGGTTTCAGAGTGAAGACGTCTTGTTCATGGCAAGAAGGCATCAGCGATGATGTCCTCGCCTGGATAAGAAGTAAAAGTAAATGGTAGGTTCTCCAAACCTACAGAAGTACACAGTGGTGTCCCACAAGGTAGCGTGATCGGCCTTATACTATTCCTAATATTTATCAATGACCTACCTGCGTTAGCAGCAAACGACACAAACTCTTCGGTAACGCATCTTCTCGGGCAAATTGTGATTCAATCCAACAAGACATACAGAAATTCGAAGATTGGGCTACAGAATGGTGCATGAAATTATACCCCGATAAATGCAAGATGATGAAACTGGGTAAAGGTCACCACCAGTACGAATATTCGATGTACAATGGGGCAGAACTGGCGAAACTCGCAACAGCGAAAGAAGAAAGGGAACTTGATGTGTTAGTCGACGATCAACTTGCATTTCGTAGACATATTCTTGAAACCATAAAGATGGCAAAACAACTCGAAAAAACAACATTCACCAAGCTATTCAAATCCCTGGTTCTTCCCGGTCTAGAGTACTAAAATGCTGTATAGCGGTCCACACACTAATGCGACCCACGTCTGATAGAGCATGTCCAAAGACGTCCGACCAAACTAGTCCTGTGCCCACGAGACCTCTCGTATAAAGACGACTCAAAGAACTTGGCTTGCCTTCAATGCAGTATGCACTCCACCGCGGTGACTTGATAGAACTATGGAAGATATTGCTACAACCGAACACAAACACTAATAGCAACTCACTAAAACTTGTCTACGAAGTCAAAGATTGCAAGCAAAAACGCCGAGCACTGAGTTTTAGATCCCAAGCTGATTGGGTATCACTCCCAAGTTTTGTGGTAAAATCGGCGACATTAAACCAATTTAAATCTGCACTCATGGTCACTGGCAACACCTCGTCCAAGTGCACGCAGGGCCATAATCTAAGGGCTAGTACTAAATCAGTAAACTCTTACCAAATCAAACCCAATTTGCTAAGATATAAACCCAAATTACGTTACAAAAATTTAAAAATATCAATGATTCTTTCAAACTGTACAATATAGCTATCTTATATAATGTGATATTCAAATTGTGAACTGCTGTGATATCGAACAATAGAACATTGGAGATTTTATTGACTATGCCGAGAATTTACAAAAGCGAATACATGTCCAATGACTTACATACTACTAAGATATACGATATGATAAGATAATGGTTTAAAAATAATTCAGGGCTTAGAAACTTAGTTACATATATTACATGTAGACCCTTTCAAATGATTTTTAAAATGTTTAGTTTGCAATTTTGACGTGCATGTGTATCGTATTTAAAATACCGGTAGCACTTTGAAATTGGCAAAATGCTGAGACTATTATCAAATTCTAGTTAATCAGTTCAAATCTGTATTTACCAAAGAAACAGACACATCGTCTTTACCTGAATTAAAGAAACCATCCTTCCCTCAACATCACTACTAAAGGCGTGGAATAGCTACTTAAGAACATCAATGAGCGGAAAGCGTCTGGACCAGACAAAATAGCTAATACTATTCTGAATACCTGTAGTAGTCAACTAGTTCCATGGCCTCCGTGAGATATTTCAACTATTAATTAACACTAGACCACTCCGGTCAGACCTGATTAATGCCAGCATTGCAACAGTCTTTAAGAAAGGGGACTTCCCTCTATCGACCAGTATCCTTGACCTGCGTGACTTGCAAACTTTTAGAACACATCATTTGCCGTCATATCCTCACACATCTTGAATGAAACAAGATACTAACCAGTTTTCAGCACGTCCACTCGGGATACTCCTGTGAGACAAACTGCTATCCACTGCTCACGACCTCCTCCAGAACGACGGTGCCAACAACCAAACCGACATGGTCATCCTAGATTTCTCGAAGGCCTTTGACACTGTCCCTCGCGAGAAACTTCTCCACAAAATCAGAACCTATGGAGCAGATGTCCCTCCAAACAACTGGTTATGGCAGTTTCTGACTAGAAGACACACGCAAGTCGTTATCGAAGGAGAGTTCTCAGACCCGGTAACTGTTGACTCGGGAGTACTGTGGGAAACAGTGTTTGGACCACTACTCTTTCTGTGCCACATAAATGATCTCCCAGAAACCGTGAAATCCCAAGTTAGACTCGTTGCAGACGACTGTCTACTCTACCGCACCATTAAATCTAGCCAGTATCATCAAACCCTTCAAAATGACCTCTCAGCTCTTGAAGCTTGGGCCAATACATATGGGTTATGAGATTCAGTGCAAAGAAATATGATATCATGAGTATCAACACCAACTTCTACACCTTAAACAATGTCATACTCCAGCAAGTGAAAGAAGACCTAAAGTAGGACGCTCAAATAACCAGGTTAATAAAGAAGGCAAACTGTTCAGATGGATTCCTAAAGCGCAACCTCGAGTACTGCTCCAAATCTTGCAGAAGATCAGCCTACATAGCGTTAGTTCGCTCCACCCTGGTGTACAGCTCAATTGTCTGGGACCCCTCCTCACAAAAGGATATCAACAGAGACTTGATCCAACGCCAAGCTACAAAGTTTGACTCCGGTGACTACAAATCTAGAGAAGAAGGTTGCGCCACAAAGATGTTGAAGGATATATAGACCTGCCATGCCTCAAGACAGACTGAAAATGATCTGTCTCACTTTTTTCTACAAGATGGTTGAGCTAGTCCAAGCTTTCACTTGTTATGACTATTTAACTCCCGTTAAACCCAAAACACCGAATTAAAGCCAAACAGAATTCAGGCTATATAGTGAAAACTATAGAGGAAAATCATACTGAACTTTATAGACACTCATTCTTCCCAAAGACAATTATTATTGATTGGAACCACCTGAAGAGAATGGAAGTACAATGTATATAGTGCGCTCTTCATCAAAGGAGAGCTTTAAATCAGCTCTATCTGCAAGAACCTAATGCACTCACTACACGTTGCGTACATGCTGTAACAGGCAATGCGACATACAGATTCAGATCAAATTTCCGTAAGACTAAGGGTTAGATTTAGAATCTTAACTGAATTTGCGTACGGTACATATTTATTATACCGGTAATAAAAACATAAAGGTTTGTTTTATTTTTTATTTAAAAATGTATACAGTTGGTATTTCTATTAAGTTATAAGCTATACATGGTTTTCTTACAATCTTGCTGGAGATACGGTAATAAGAAATTGAAATATTATGAACTAATTAGAAAATTGTAGATTCTAGACTAGCTGCTTGGTTTTTATTAGGTTCAACGAAATATCAATTAGATAAAAACAAATTAGGTTTAATAATACATGTGCAAAAGTAGTTTTGTTCTTATTTTATTCTGAAAAGCGCAGAACGGATCACGCTCATTCTTTCATGTTTTTGTTTGACCGGAAGGAAGTTGCCATACTTCTATTTCGCGCATGCGATGTATAACATAATCGATCAGTCGGACTTCCTTTCTACTGTCGGTACAGTTCTGTGCCTATTATGGTTCAATGCAAATGGTTTTGTTCATGTTGTTAGTGGAAAAGCAAAATGTATAAATATTAGATCTGATTTTGTGAATGACATATTAAATTGGTAATTAATGAACGTTAAAATATCATCGGCATTTTCTGTTTTCTGAACAGCTTAAGATTTCATAACTTTACTATAGACACTTTTGTGGTCTCTAGCCAGGAAAATATGATGCGGTGGGAGAGGCAGAGGGAAGGGAAATTATAAACAACATGTTGATTATCTTTATCAATGAAGATTGGCTTCACTAGTACAGTCTAATAGCCCAATAATAAACACTAGGCTACTGTCACTGCCTATTTCTTACTATTTTATGGGTTGTCATGATTTGCCCCATTTTTGTCCTCACCACAAAGTTGACAAAGTCCACAATACTTCATGTGGACCGCCAATTGCCTGAAGGTAGCTCATGAACATGAAGACATTTGATAATTTAATGAGTAATCATAGCATTTAGGTGGAGCCAAGTGACAATATCTGACTGTTCTGGGACTATCGGGCTCTGATTGTTATTTAATACTGTAATTGCACAATATCCAACATTATAGTATTGCCATAAGCTTACAAATTTTCTTTGCGTACATGTAACTTTGCATCAGGACCAAACTTTTAAAACATTTTACTGTATGGCTCTGACTGTCATTTGCATTTTTGGGACCATCAAAATATTTTATACAACACTTAAGGTGGTGCTAGCTTATTTATGCCAACTGCAAAAGATGCAGGTTGCTAGAAAACGTTTAATTCATCATATTTTGGTAATTGTTGAACAGAATATATTGAACCATTGTTAGACTCATATTGTTTTTTGCAGATTTAACATTTGCAATTATTGTACTTTACAAGGGATTCCAAATCCCAGAATTAACAGAGGGATTAATGTAAATGTGTGAACTATGGTAGGAACCATCCTCAGTATCCCCATGCAGTGGTCTCATTCCATTCTACTCCACTATTTCCTGGGTTCATCCATGGGGTATTCACGTATTCAAATAGCTGCCCTTTGACTGTAGCTTAATTCTATGAACCAATCAGAAGACAGTTTACAGACCAGTCTTAGCCTCATTGTTTATGTTCACAACCATATGGTGACTTGTTCGCTCAATTATGAGAAAGTTTGCAAGGAATTTAATATAAAAGAAGTGAAATGCACACAAAAAGATGGGAAAGATGTTTTTGATGTCCGTCAAAACTGGCAGTGGGAAGTCATTATGTTATCAAAATGAAATGGGGTTTATAGTAGCTAAGTCTCTAACTCAATATCATCCAAAATCTTCGACATTGAAAACACGAATTATTTGTCAATGTAAATCAACATCGATGTTGTGATCTTACCGGGTAAAGATGGGCTTTTGATATCCAATATTTAAGACAAAATAAACATTTTACCATTGGTACACGAATCATGTACCATAATGCGTTTCAACGCCGTTTGCAATAAGGGACTCGAAGAAAGAGGCAAGACATATTCCACAAGTCCTGTTAACTGGTGAGGCCATATTCTTATCTGGAGAGCATGCGCAAGAAATACTATCGGTGTAGACTGGAATAACCAGACGCTAGAGATTGCCATTCGATTGACACTTCTGGTGTATTTTGCCGAACATAACTGATTTGAAATTAGAGTAAAGACAGGAGCGATTGAATGTAAACCAGTTTGTATACATTCATATAATATTATTGTATACGTTGCGACCCATTTGTGTCAATTTCAAGGTCACAAATATTAGAGATTTAGCTCCTTTAACATTGTTATATTATCAAACATATTGGTCGATAAAAAAGCAGTCATCAAGGGCAGATAATTTGAATACATGTTTCCCCCATGGATGAGTTAGTGGAGTGGAAAGGAATGAAACAACTGAGGATTCAGAGGATGGGTAGGAACTTGACTAATTGTGGATTTAAAATTTAGTTTTTAGTAATTGATTATCTGTTTTGTGTTTTATTAATAGAATAAATTATATATGCTTACTTTAAATTTTACAGATTATTTCTGTTTGAAGTGTTAGTGTTTCATCAACAAGATGTCGTGGGCCAATGAACTTCCATCAGAATTGTTATGTCGTCCTACAGGCCTAGTGGTCTTAACTGGTTTGGATATAACATATAATGCTATTCATAAATCTATCTGGGATTCATTCTGTAACAATCGTCGTTCTGATCGAGTTCCTCTCAAATTCAATGTAATGGAAGCAGATCATGTCTATCCTAAAAGTAAATCTAAAGTAAGTATAACTTTATAATGTTGATTCTTTGTTTTATTTTGTAATGCACTTTTTCTGTAATCCAAATTTGGTTTATAAGGGCAAATAGTGTAATTTCCAGATATGTTTATAAGTGAATCTTGAGAACATGTGGATGATAGATCAAGACCACAGTTAAAATAAGCTAGGTAACAGTAAACACTTGTCCAAGAAAGAAAGGCATGCCCTTAAAAGAACCCTTGACAGTTGGAGTTCCAATTCATTAGCTCATTTTGTACAGAATTTAAGGAAGACGTTCAACCCCAAGTAATACCTTCATAAATGTAACATGAGCTATTTAATTGTTAGTGCGATATAACCTTTTTACTTTTTGCAAAAGGATCCGTAACAATTTTTAAGGAACGATATAAAATCTGGTTATTTTTAAAGGTTTCTAATTGATATTCATTTACTTTTTACTTTGGAGCAGTTTATGTTTTAAAATTATTTTTGTTTTGAATAATTTGATCAATGAAATACTTTTTACATCGAAGCACTTTAAATGATAAATACAGTATACATGAATGTTGTGTGATTGTAATAGTCATAGACAGTACATAGGACATATAATTTGACAAAGGGAAGTAACTACAGTTTGACTTAGACATGGTGTAGAATAATTAGTAGTGAACATTGTAACACATTATTTTCAGAGAACATCCTATCAGTGGTATATACCTAAAGGTATTTTAAAGAGAAGTTGGATGAAAAAACATTTAAATGAAGTACCTGCTGTTGTTGTGGTGTTTTTTGATCTTGACTGGGATGAAAACCTGTGGAAAGAGAAACAGATGGAATGTGCTACTAGAGTTGAAATAGTCAGGTTAGTTTGAAGATTTATGTTTAGTTGAAATAGTTACGTTAGTTTCAGATTTAATTTAAAAGAATTGCCATGGCTGTTTGAAAGCACTCCATCAGCTCTTTATAGTGTTATTAGTAACAAGGTCCACTGTAATGAATTTATTTGTTTGTACCTTCTGTTTCATTGATTACAAATTTATATCTGTTGATAACCAGTGTTTGATGATTATACTTTGTGTATGTGCATAACAAATTTTTGATCGATTACAAATTATATTTCTGTATATACTCAATGATGGATTGATTACAAGTTGTAATTTTTATACCCTATGTTTGATGAATTATAAATTGTACTTGTTTATACCCATGATAACAAATTGTTTTTGTAGGAATAGTTTACAGGGTCAAGGAACAAAAGTATCAGTTGTGTTAATACAGAAGAATACTCCTCTACCACCAGGTAATGTATATCTATTTTCTGTTTTCTATTTACACAAATATAACAATGATAATTCTCAGACTCCCAAGTTGTTCTGCATATTTTTGCTAGTGTACAAAACTTGTTCTGATGGAAAAAAGGGTGATATTTGCAAATATTTGTAAAATTCCCAGAACATATGAAGGACTTTCACAAATTTAACACTATTTTATGTAGTTGTAATTAATCTAAATAATAATATATTTTTTTGATAGCATATATAATATATACCATATTATCAATATATGTTTGTTTATGATAAATGTTGTGTTACTATATATCAGGTTAAGAAGGTGGGGTGGATGGCTGAATGGTTAGCACTTGGTATCATAAGGTCTATCATATAGTCAACTGGCTTGGTTTTGGATCCCTGGTTGTACGTGACAAGGAGTAGGGTCGTCTGTCCAACCTTATGGGGTTTCTCCGGGTCCTACGGTTTCCTCCCACTATTAAAGACCCCTATGCGCAAGCAATTTATTGAAATCGAATTGAACCATATGTTAGTCCTGAAATGACTTAGTTTGTGTTGAGTAGATGTTAAACTCCATTTCTCTCTGTCAGGTGAAGATTTGATAGCATCAGAAAGAGCAGCATCTTTATGTAGTATGTGTGATATATCAGCTAAATCCCTGTATGTTCTACCGCATACTGATCATCTTATAGGTTATACTATCAGGTTAGTCATAGGTTATACTATAGCTATCAGGTTATTTATAGGTTATACCATCAGGTTAGTTATAGGTTATACAGGAGTCACAGTGGCTCAGTAAGATTGTAAGTTTTTCAACAAATATGCCTCTGATTCTGCATCCATTCTATTTTCTATCAGTAATGGTTGAAATGGTGTTTCCGTGTAATGTACATGTTCTTTTATATTACAGATTGGAGAATGCTTTCTATGAACAATCACAGAGTTATTATCATACTGAAGCCAGGAAAGTTAAATCACATAAAGATTTCTTAAATAAAACAACACATCAGGTCAGTTGTACATTTAACTCAATTTGCCTAGACTTTTTGTGTTGTTTGTTGATTTAACATAACAGTCTTGTATGAAAAACTAGAGTATTAACAATAGTACACTTTAAAAATCTTCAATATGAAGAACACTGTCAAATTTATCCTCTGAGTTGTATAAATTTTTTGTGTTTTACTTTTTCAAATCCATTATCAAATAGTCAGGTTTTGTTAGGTTTAGCCATTCTGATTTTTTTTTACAATCTGCTTTGTTAAAATTGTCATCAAAATGAAGAGATCATATATCTGAACATTTGATAATGAATTTCCAAATTCCCTGGGAATGGCTGAATGTAAAGGCTTATTATAAATTGTTCAATACATTATAGTGTATAGATTTGATTTTGTCTAATGGATGAATTTAAAGGCTTATTATAAATTGTCCAATACATTATAGAGTATAGATTTGATTTTGTGTAATGAAACTTGTAGAAAATGATTATATTTTATTTTTAGTTGTTGTATGTGAGACATCAGTTTAAGATAGCTTTCTTTAATGAACTAAAACAAGACACACACACATCTCTCAAGTAAGTTTACTACTGTTTTATTACACCATTCTTTATTGAATTCCAACTGTGATGGTTTCGAACCATTCGAATGTCACGGTTTTTTACTGGACTGGAAAATCCTGAGAAACATTCGCAGCCATGTTTTTCGAGCCAGCATGATTTCCACTGTGGCTCCCATGACATTAATAGGTTACAGTATTTGTTATTAACTGATGAACTACCTGTTTAAAATGTAGGGGGTTTGGATGGCTGAATGGTTAGCGAGTGCGTGTTGTATCATAAGGTCTGTCATTGTGTCAACTGGCATGGTACGTGACAAGGAGTAGGATCGCCTGTCCATCCCCGTGGGTTTTCTCTCTGGGTCCTCCGGTTTCCTCCAACTGCTAAAGACCCCTGCGTACATGCGAGTTATTGAAATAAAATTGAACCATATGTTAGTCTCGAAATGACCTAGTTTGTGTCGAGTGGAAGTTAAACCCCATTTCTCTCTCTCTCTCTCTCTCTCTCTCTCTGTTTGAAATGTGTCTGAAGTGTATCCATAAAGCAGGTATATTATGTGCTCAAGCATATTATTTTTTTATTTCAGACATTATAAACAGGCATATGGTTATATGTTAGATTTAAGAATGTACGATACCAATATGTTAGAGATTAAAACTATGGCTGGATTTCTTAATTACAAGGTAAGGCCACACTATTTTGAACATTCGTTCTTAAGGGATACACCTTTCAGAATAATACTCAGAACATTCCTTATCACTGAAATCTGATCTTGCCAACACTGTACCAGGAATAAGATGTTAATTCATGGCTGTCTTGGAGTTTATAAATTCTGAAGACATCTCATTAATTTCCAATATATATCTCGCTTGTTTTGTGATAATTATAAGATATGTTTTATATTTCAGTTATGTCGGTTATCATTTCAACATAATACACCCTTAGATGCCATCGCTCAGTTTCGTAAACATATTGATTTCTTTAAATCTAGAACAGGTACACCAGAATTAGCGTTTGAAAACAGTGCTTGGATGTCTAAACAGTAAGTAACTCGAGACTTTATGTAAGATATCAAATTATTTTGTTATATCTATGTATCAACCTCTCCTTTATGTTCCGTTAATCATGACTATGTTTGTTAACCAAGGTGGCTCAGTGTGTCTAGCAATGTCTTACTAACAAGGAGGCACCTGGTTCAACTCCGGTGTTGGCAAAGAAAGCTCCTCAGATCTGGATTTTTCAACATGGTTATCCTTTTCACTGGTGCATGACAGAGCGCTTGCTCATAAAAGAACCCTTGGCCAGCATGTGCAGAAAGAAAGAAAGTTAATCCTGATTTCATTTTATTTTGAAACTATGTTTTATCAAATGACATCACTAATTATTATTTATGTGGATGTACATTAAGCCATACAAAGGATCATTGAGCTAAATAACTTCTCACAGATATCACATATTAAGATTCTACTTATATCAGATCATCTGTTTATCCATGCTGTTTATAGGAATTCATTACATACATCTGTAAGCTATAATTTATTTCTGATACTGTACACTGAGATAAATACAAACAGTAAATATTTTATTGATCTGATGTCATCTTCAATCCCATGGAGGATAATTTCAGTCATTTCTTTCTCATTACTACATGTAAAATTCACGTAAATGAATATTCTGCCAGATATAACAATCTATTTCATGTCATGTTTTAATCTATTACCAATGTGACCTTTCTATACCAAAACTAAGTCAAATTTGTTCCCATGGAAACACCAAACAGCTACTGTAATAGGTTGATGTGGTCTGTGCAAAATTTCATAAAGATATGAACTGTTTATGAGATTTGAGCCACAAATACAACTGAGACAGAAGGATAAACAGAGCTCATTTCAATATCCTTAAAGTAGCAATATTGTTATGAATCCATATATAACTAAAAACATAATATATTATGGCCGTTATTAAAAACCTTTCAAATAATATCCCTTTTTTACCCTGTTAATACATTGTTAAATGTTAACAGACAATATTTTGGTATCCAACTAATTAAAAGGAGCTAAATCGCTAATATTTGGGACGGAGAAATTGACACAAATGAGTTGCAACTACTCGCAACGCATATAATAATGTAATATGAATGTATATAAACTGATTTCCATTCAATCGAATAGCAATCTGTAGCGTCTCGTTATTCCAGTCTACACCGATAGTATTTATTGCGCATGCTCTCGAGATAAGAATATGTGGTCACCGTTTGACATGACTTGTGGAATATGCCTAGCCTTGTTCTTCGAGTCCCTTGTTACAAATGGTGCTGAAACGCATTATGGTACACCATTCCTACCAATGGTAAAATGTGTTTTTATTTGTCTTAAATATTGGATATCAGAATCCAATCTTTTCACGGTAAGATCACAACATCAGTGTTGATTTAAATTGACAAATAATTCATATTTTCAATGTCGAAGACTTTGGATGATATTGAGTTAGAGACTTGGCTATTTTAAGAAGCAGTGTTTGAGAACATGTAGATTTACACTATTTTTGATCACTTATATTCAAAATTAAATAAATGAGTTTTCTAATTTCCTTTAAACAATTCAAGTGAACTTGAAGTTTAAATACTATGTGGTAGGCTGTTCCATAAAATAGCTGCGTTCTATCTAAAAGTTTATAATTTAAAGATCTTGGGTGAGAAGGTTTTGTGATGTACCTTTTTTTTGTAGGTCCATTTACCCCCCCCCCCCCCACTGCTAAAAACCCGTACTCACAACAGTATTATTGAAATAAAATTTTATTATATGTTAGTCCCGAAATGACCTAGTCTGTGTTGAGTGAGTGGAAGTTAAACCCCATCCCCCTATCTGTTTAACTGATAATAATAATAACATACAGATTGTCAGTTACAGTTTTTGACTTTATCTTATCAGTACAGTATATCAAATGACAGGAGTGAATTTTATAATGTGCAATTAATTTTTTACATGTAAATACTATTTAAAGTGCTTTTCTGAGTGCAAATTAATGTTTTAAAAGCTGATGTTTGCCAGAAATCTTAATAGATTAATATGATTAGTATGTATCTTTACTTTAGATGGAACGGAACTTACAATTTTCAAAAACAAATTCATAGCCATTCTAATTTGTGTGCGTATTTGAAAGACAAATGGTAGTTTCGAAATTACACCAAATCTGTGATCTCGCAGTAAATGTTTGATCTTTACTTTGGTTGGATATCAAATCCTTGTGACTTTCAATATGCATGTTATTGGAGTCTACCCAGCTGTAATTAAATACTGTTAAGATAATACAAGGAGAAATAATGTTCAGGGGAGATAAGAACATGACATACTGTTTCTTCTGTCTTGTAAGTTACTTTGGAAGCCCCATAAAAAAAAATTAAAGGATTTTGAATCCCTTGCAAACTTGGCAGTAATGAGAAAATGAAAAAGAAATATCAATTCAAAAATGTGTCCGCTCCTTTCAGTATCAACAACAATATGAATTGAAAATGTCCCAACACTTGTCATCTGTAGATGATAATAACATTCCAGCACCATCTAAATCTTTTGATCCGATTTAATCCAAGCCAGGAGATTATCTACCATTGATAGTTGGTTTATGTTTTCTTATCTATATATACTATTCAAAAAAAGTAGGGGATATTTGATTTTTAAGTGTTATTAAAGTCACCTAATGAAACTGACGAAGAAACAAATGACAAAATGAAATGAAGTTCACATTCATCGATTTATTCCAAATGATCGTTAGACTAAGTAAGGCACAGACTGACCATTATAAGGGTAAAATGATACCCGGGGTCAAACAGCAAAGTTACCACAGCATCACAACCAAGTCAGTAACGGGTAAATCCTCCTCTGTTTGCCAAACAAGCATTGATCCGACGTGGCATACTCCTAATGAGACGTCTAAGGTCATTTTGGTCCAGATTGTCCCATTCCTGTTGCAACGCAGCAGCAAGTTCTTGGACATTGGCAGGACGTTGTTGACGTTGACGTAACCTCTGTCCAAGCATGTCCCAGACATGCTCGATGGGGGAGAGGTCGGGACTCAGTGCTGGCCAAGGTAATGTGGTGATGTTCTGTTGTTGGAGGTAACCTGTAACGATCCTGGCCCTGTGACATCTTGCGTTGCCATGACGTCGTGCGAACGGCACAACATGGACTGCCAAGATGTTGTCCCGGTAGTACTGGCCTGTAACACGCCCTGCAACAACATGTAAAGCCGTTCTTCCAGCAACAGTGATGCCTCCCCACACCATAACAGAACCACCCCCAAATCGATCATGTCTGATGACGTTAACGTCTTGGAAGCGCTCGTTTCGACGACGCCACACCCTCCTACGTCTGTCCAAAAAATCAACAGTGAACCTTGACTCATCTGAAAACATCACATTGCTCCAGCGTCGATTATCCCAGTGTTGACGATCCCTACACCAACGACGTCTTGCCTGAATGTGATGATCTCTCAAACAAGGGATCATGCGAGGACGTCGGGCGCGAAGGTGACCCCTATGCAGTCGATTCCGAATCCTCTGGCCACTCACTCTCACACCAGTGTCTGTTTGAAGACGAGCGCTGATCTGATTTGCTGTGATGGCACGATTTCTCAAGGCCAAGGTACGGATAAATCGATCCTGGGCTTGAGTTGTCGCCCTTGGTCGACCTGAGCGTGGTCTGTCCTGTACAGATTGTGTATCACGGTATCTGGACCATAGCCTGCTTATGACAGACTGAGAAACATTCATCGTCCGCGCCACAACCGCCTGTGTTGTGCCGATCTGTAGCATGCCAAGGGCACGTAACCTTTCATTTTGGGTAAGCCGACGCATATCAAAATTTGTTTTCTGGTCACTAAAACAATTAAACTGATGTTTCCACCCTGGAATTCAATGCCACAATGACTGTAACATTCAAAGTCAGAGTCGTGCAAATCTTGGGTTGGACCCCCATGATGATCCCAAGCATCACCTGCATTCCATGCGGTAGCTATTGGTGCGTTTGGGCGTCACATGTAACTGGAAATGTTTCTTCTGTTAGGTTCTATAGTGACTTTTTTCGTAGTCATTTGCATATTTTAGTATTATGCCCCCAAAATCAAATATCCCCTACTTTTTTTGAATAGTATATATATTTGTGACTGTCGTTTGTCTGTCTGTCTGTCTGTCTGTTCGGGGTTGTCGGCTACACTAGGTCTGCCCCGAGTCTGAAATTTGGGGTATAAGGTTACCTTGGACCGGGGAGTAACATAGGCCAGGTGGCGTTAGTCTACCACTTCCGGTTTCGGAGTTATGACCCCCGAGCGAAGCCGGTCTGTTCGGGGTTGGCTGCTACACTAGGTCTGCCCCGAGTCTGAAATTTGGGGTATAGGGGTAGCTTGGACCGGGAAGTAGCATAGGACAGGTGGCGTTAGTCTACCACTTCCGGTTTCGGAGTTATGACCCCCGAGCGAAGTCTGTCTGTTCGGGGTTGGCGGCTACACTAGGTCTGCCCCGAGTCTGAAATTTGGGGTATAGGGGTAACTCGGACCGTGGAGTAACATAGGCCAAGTGGCGTTAGTCTACCACTTCCGGTTTTGGAGTTATGACCCCTGAGCGAAGCCGGTCTGTTCAGGGTTGGCGGCTACACTAGGTCTGGCCCTAGTCTGAAATTTGGGGTATAGGGGTAGCTCGGACCGGGGAGTAACATAGGCTAGGTGGCGTTAGTCTACCACTTCCGGTTTTGGAGTTATGACCCCCGAGCGAAGCCGGTCTGTTCGTGGTTGGCGGCTACACTAGGTCTGGCCCTAGTCTGAAATTTGGGGTATAGGGGTAGCTCGGACCGGGGAGTAACATAGGCTAGGTGGCGTTAGTCTACCACTTCCGGTTTCGGAGTTATGACCCCCGAGCGAAGCCGGTCTGTTCGGGGTTGTTGGCTACACTAGGTCTGGCCCGAGTCTGAAATTTGGGGTAAAGGGGTAGCTCGAACCAGGGAGTAACATAGGCCAGGTGGCGTTAGTCTACCACTTCCGGTTTCAGAGTTATGACCCCCGAGCGAAGTCTGTTTGGGGTTGGCGGCTACACTAGGTCTGGCCCGAGTCTGAAATTTGGGGTATAGGGGTAGCTCGGACCGGGGAGTAACATAGGCTAGGTGGCGTTAGTCTACCACTTCCGGTTTCGGAGTTATGACCCCTGAGCGAAGCCGGTCTGTTCGGGGTTGGCGGCTACACTAGCTCTGGCCCGAGTCTGAAATTTGGGGTAAAGGGGTAGCTCGGACCATGGAGTAACATAGGCCAGGTGGCGTTAGTCTACCACTTCCGGTTTTGGAGTTATGACCCCCGAGCGAAGCCGGTCTGTTCGGGGTTGTTGGCTACACTAGGTCTGGCCCGAGTCTGAAATTTGGGGTATAGGGGTAGCTCGGACCGGGGAGTAACATAGGCTAGGTGGCGTTAGTCTACCACTTCTGGTTTCGGAGTTATGACCCCCGAGCGATGCCGGTCAGTTCGGGGTTGTCGGCTACACTAGGTCTGCCCCGAGTCTGTAATTTGGGGTATAGGGGTAGCTCGGACCGGGGAGTAACATAGACCAGGTGGCGTTAGTCTACCACTTCCGGTTTCGGAGTTATGACCCCCAAGCGAAGCCGGGTATCCTGCTAGGTGCTAATAAAATAATAAATTAGCATGAATTAACAAAGCTGTGAATAATTAGATATTATCCAAAACATGGGAATGATGATTAGTGGCTTTGATATCACTTTACATTATAGTTTATGATGCTTGGTTTTTTTTCTCCAGGTTTCAGGTATTTGGTGATTTATTTGATGAAGCTATAAAATTAGGATTAACAGCTTTACAGACACAACATCCTGGTTTTTATTATCAGCAAGCAGCTAATCATTCTATAACTAGAAAACAACTATGTCAAGCTTTATGTACTGTAAGTATCTTTATCTATAGTTGTTTATATCAAATTTCATCAATCTATAGTTGTTTATATCAAATTTCATCAATCTAAGTTTAACCCTTTGGGATACAACATGATTGTCTGGTATACATTAATATGTTTGGTTAAAGACCCCTTTTTTGCATTCACACTGACGAATTGATAATTCTCTTATATAATAAATAGTATTAGATTTTGGTTTACTAATACACTTTTAAAAGTCTGAGGATTAATTTGGCATATATCATTTAATGCCTCATGTAGATTCAAAAGGTTAAATTGTTTATTTCTAATTAATTATTAGTGTTATGCATCCAATGCATTGTTATTATTTTTAGCACACAGGAGATCTTCCACAGAATACAGTTTTGGATGGTCTAGATAATCTAGAATATTTTGGTCAGAGACCTTGGCGACAGGGTCATCAGAGTAAGTAGCTTTCTACAGTTAGTTGTCCAATAAAAAGAAGCATGAATATATATTTGAACAATTCACCATGTAGGTGTTTGTTTGTTAATAAAGGGAAACATGTTTATTAGTGAATAAAAACATATTTATTATTCTTAATGGCTTGATGAGTTTGCCGCTTGTTCACTATCAAAGAGACCAGGGTTTGATCCTGTAGTTGGCAGAGAAAGTTCTGTCCTACATTTTTGGTGGGCTTCCCCTTGTCATGGGTGCCGGACAGAGGGCCCGTTAGTAAAAGGCATCTAGCTATTGGGATGGTATGTTTGGTAATGGATTATGGAAAGACTGAGGTCTGCCAACTGGTATAGATGTATTTATTTTATTTGTATGTATAACAGGTATTGATCCACCAGATGCCCAGAAAGAGAGAGATGGTATTATAGCTTTACAGATACGAGAAAAACAAGAAGATCATTGTGTAAGTTAATAACATAAAATTTATATTGTTAGTCTCAAAAAAGATCAGGAAGGTATCAAAACTTAAACAGGCATTATATGGGAGATAAGATAAAGAGTTGACAGTTCTCGCTATAATACTTAAAAAATAGATAACGTAAATAGAATATGCTGAAAATTTCAGTCAAATTGCTTCACTCTGAACCGAGATATTAGCTTTGGAATTTTATGCTAGCCTTGATCATCATTACTAAGTTGGTAGGATAAAAAACAAAGTCAGTATTATCCATATTTACATTTAATTTTTTCACTAAATGCATTTCAATTCGCTTAATATCGCAGGCTAGCAATGGCATCGAGAGTTGATTATGGTCGGGATAGGTTAATTAATGTCTGATTAATAATTTATATAACATTTCAGGCCTAAAGAAAGATCTGCAATAGCTCTTGCATAATGTATGATTAATGTTTTGTTGGCATAAACTGATAAAGTTTCAATAGTTCATAAGTAATGAGTTGTGAATATGAAATGGAAGAAATTTTATGAAAAATAATGCTTGAGATAAAAAAAAACCTTTGAAGCTGATTTTCAATTTGAGGAATATTGAATCCCTTGCAAACTACAATATTGTGAAAGTAGTATCTGTAAAAGAAATACCAGTCCATAAATGGTTCTTTTCTGTTCAGTATTTAATTTATTGATATAATGCAGACGACATAAACATATACCAGCGTCACCTATATGGGTTGGGTAAAATCATTTGATTGAATCCATGCCAGGAAATTATCTACTATTGAGTACAATTTAGCATGGATTAAACAGTTAAAAGTAGGAAATTGTCTGAATAATACAAATAATGATGAATAGAGACTGGAGTGGAAGGATTTATCTCACAATAGAGATCTGAATTAATACTTAATTTCTAGAAATAAATACGAAAAGTTACTATATATTGAATATATGTTTATTTCAGTGGATCATTATACCATTATTAAGTAGCGCTGTAGCTCAGTTTAAAAAATATAAATCACCCAGAATGAAAAGACATTTAAGTAAGTATTCATTTGCATTGGCCCTGAATAGAAGAGTTTTAATTGTAACTGACCAAGTTCAATATTTCAAGTACTAATTCAGTATACCTTGAAAATTTATCGGGTACAAGTAAAATCATTATTTCCATGCATGTAGAAAGAAATGTTGTTTGTATTAAATCAAAACTTTTATTTTTATCTTCACAAGTTTTTTTAGTCCTTGGATTATATACTTTTTACAGGTTTGTGGGAAGGATGTCCATAATCTCTCTTGTATCTAAGACACCTAATTTGATCTTTGAAGAGAAGTTTAATATTATTTGATTCTATTTCGTATTTTACAATCTCATTTGACTTAATTAACATCTTGTGTCGATTCTTAATTTGAATGACTCTTTACTTTTATTTTAAAGTGGTCCAAATGGGAGAAGAATATTTCCATGCTAAAGATTATGGAAAAGCTTTAATGTAAGTAACTCTCATGTAAAGCAGTTTAAACAATGCATCTAGTCATTCGGATGGCACAAAAAAACTGAGGTCCATCCATGTACTCATTTGTGTGTACATTAAAGAACCCTTTACAGTTTGAATTTGATGAAGAGTACAGATGGAAGTGCTGCTGTCCAAAGTTTCACTCATAACAGACTGCATTGTGTATGCATGTCTTCTTCATTAGTTAGTGCAGAAAAGTACACATCAAACCTCAAATAGATTGTTTTTCCAGTTGTTGAAATGTAGTCTCCAATCAGTATTATTACATGTATATTAGTTTTTCCAGTTCTTGAGATGTAGTGTCCGATTAGTATATATCAGTAAGATGTTAGAGGAATGTATATTTAATACACTACTAGAAATGACATCCTCCTTGTGTTTTTCAGGTTATTAAATAAAGTTATGTGGGATTATAGAACTGAAAGATGGTCACCTATATTAACATCTATATTAAACCTATCATTAAAGTGTGCTTATCTAACAGCTAGAATACAAGACTATATATCCACCTGTATGGAACTAATTGGTCAATGTATCCTTTATGCTTAACCCTTTGACCACTGAACATATTGTTGCCCATACACAGTGTCCCTGTGACAGTTGAATGTAAACAAGTGAAGAGAACTAACTGCGTGTAATATTGTGGGCACTACAAGATATGTTTCTTTCTTCAATACTCCACCTTGTGTTGCCAGTCTACCACAGTTGTTGTCAGTGAACTATGTCGTGACCTCTAGGAACCTAAGGGTTAAGCATACCATATTTATCAAAATATTTTCACTGACCATAGAAAGTGTTGGCCTGATGTTTAACATCATTCGTTTCATTTCTGATATGGCTTAGAAAATGTTTAACATCATTCGTTTCATTTCTAATATGGCTTAGAAAATATCCTCTGTTATTTTTGCATTGATTGCTTTGATAAATTTTCAGATGAAATCTTGACTAGCCTGTAATTGTAATTGCTTGATGTCCACCTTGATATGTCAGAAAACTAAAATCAGCTTTTATTGTATTGTCTGGGTGGTAAAGATGTTGTTCAATCATTGTATGATTATATCCTTAATGTTCACTAGACTCACAATGTTCTATAGAAGATAAGTCTAGAATAGAGAAAAATATATTTAAAGTTATGTCAGTAAGTAATTTTATTTTTAACACCATTTTTCTATTTTATATTAGCCTGTTCAACCTCATGGGCTTTCTCTGGGTCCTCCGGTTTCCTCCCACTGCTAAAGACTCCTACCCGCAAGCGAATTATTGAAATAAAATTTTAAAAACCATGTGTTAGTCCCGAAATGACCTAGTTTGTGTCGAGTGGATGTTAAACCCCATTTCTCTCTCTCTCTCTCTCTTTTTTATATTAAGTCATCTGGATTATTATTTTATGGTATAAAAGGTAACAAGAGTGTGCAGTTAAATATCCAGATAATTAATCTATAGTTGTGGATTATGGTTTCAGAGCACCTCCGATCAGTAGTGACCAAAAAAATTCCTCAAGATTTTCTCCCATTCCCAGTGGTGCAGGATGGAGGGCATGGGTGGCTTATTAACTATGTTTCTGAAAATCTTAGATGTATTGAAGGAATTTTTGAATAATAGTTGCAGGAATTCCTCTTTATTACATGTTAGGAAAATCTGGAGTGCAAGTCAATTTTTAACCAAATAGCAGTTAATCACCTTTGTTGTCTTGCTATCTGAAATAACAGTTTGCAAAGTGCCGCCCTCCTGGCAAAATTTCCCTCATAGCATATGTCCATCTTTATTAGCCCGGATGATGCAGAAAAGTAGGACTTTATACTATAATTCATTTTATTTCTGTCTTACTAATGATAATGTTTGTTTCATCAGAATGAGTTGCCTGATCCTGAACCAGGTTTAGAACAGACGGCAGTAGAGTCTGCTAAAACACAATGGTTGACGGCTAAATCTTCACCTAATTTATTCACCATAGAGATGTCAACATTAGTTTCATTCAGTAAGTAATAATTAAGTACAATTTCTCCAAAAAAATACGTTTCAACCAGATATCATGATTATTAAACCACAAAAATTACCAGAAAAGAATTTTATTTAATTGTTGCTATGAATTTTAAAAAAAGCAGACCAGGAATTATTAAACTGTATACAGTGCATATGCGAATACGTAATTTTAAATGGAATGGCCCTTTATTTCCAGATTTTCAGATTGTTTGTGTGGACAAGGTTGTTTAGTGTCATATGTATTATATTTATTATAGTTGAATGTAAGGCAAGATTTATTGGTGATACTACATCAGCAGATTCTAAAGTCAAGTTAGAAGTTTGTCTTCGGTAAAACACGATTATTTTCCCTTTTAAAAATTTTTAATTAAAAAATAATAGACCTTTTGTTGAAGACTCTTTTCCCAAAATGGCTGATTACTAACTCGCTTACTTTAAATTTTGCTAGTCGTTCATTTCATGGCATATGACAGATTTAGCATTGTACCTATCTATAAATCAAATTTACATATAAAAACTATATAAATGTGTGTCTTGTGGTTAAATTCTTTGAAGTAATTAATTTTTGGACTTTAAAAGTATATTGATTTGTGTTTAAAAGTTTAAATTCTTTGAAATAACTAATTATATGGCATGTAAAATAGCTAACAGGTAAATTCTCCAGGTCGTCATTTATATTGTCAGTCTGTCAAGACAGGTAAATATGTCTAAAAAAGTAATTGTGTAATATTAATCAACTGATTTTTATGTTATTTATGACTTTTTTTTAATATTTACTTTTATATTTTCAGTGTAAGCTGCCCTCAGCCAATTAGGTTTTCAAAATTATCAGTATTATTTAATAACCAGGTGGGTAAATATTTTCTATATCTTCAAAGTTATGTGGTACCTTAAAGAGACAATATTATGCTCACCAAGGAAAAAAAGAAATTAATTTTAACTCACTTTTGAGTAGTATGGTATTTTACACCAACCTCCTTGAAAACAACTAACAGATGGTTCAACTCATAAATTGACAGAGAATATGTTGTTTTTTTTGCCTCTGCGATATTTTGCCAGACTTGTCTTAAATATTGCACATAATCTAATTTTAATGTGCAACGACTTAACATGTAGATTCATATGTTTAATGTTATTTAATTTATTTCAAGATCCATAATAGTAAATGTGAGATGTCAGATGGTAGAGGTATAACTGCAGCATCATCTCCACTCGAAGCAGACGGTGCTGATCTCTATTTGTTACCAGGGAAACCAAGAACTTACAGTTTCTCTTTTCTACCGTCTGCTGAAGATGTTGGACGACAGATTGAGGTAAATTATTTGTGATTAATTCTATAATACATGTAGAAACTAATGATGGCAATCAAACGGTTTAATTCTTTCAAAATGAGCCACAGTGACTCAATGAGTGTGGCACTGGCTCACTAAGCTGTCCTGGGTTCCATCCTGGTGTTGGTCAAGAGAGTTCAAACTTGGTTTAGATGTTTATTAGGTGAATGTCTTGACTGAGTTCTGTGATGAGCATTTTTGGCTTAGGCTAATAAGAATTGACCTGAATAAGAATTTTTTTTATCATAGGAATATTTTGTCAATTTAATATTTTATAGATATCATCTGTAGCATTAGAGTTGGGTAATAGTGATAATGGTTGTTGTGCTGTATTAAGATGGGTTGGTACAGGAGCTGATGCTAGTGGTTCAACATCTAATACAATGTTTAAACAACCCATTACACCATTCTCTGTAACACCAGCTAAAACTACAGATATAGAAAAATGGTTACAATTTAAAACTAATCCTGTCATTAAGTAAGTAGTTTATTCTTTGAAGCTAGCCTAGAACATTGTCCTGTACAATTTAAGGCATTGTCAGGCACAATCCCCAGATTTATGTTTTTGTAGTACTTTTATTGGTGTATTGAATGCGTGTCAGGCTCAAAGTTTAAAATTTCTGGTACTACTTTATAAGTGCCTGGCAGTTTCTCTTGTACATCTAAAACTGTTATTTCCTGGCTCTAAAGTTGGCATTAAAGCTGTTTATTATACCTTGCTCATTGCCATCCATCCTCCACTATTTCTTGTGAACACTATACCATCTACACATCAATATTTCTATTAATTCAAGTGTTAAATGTTTTCTGGAAATATATTCTTAGTCATACATGTTCAGTGACAGTGTAGTAATCACCGATTGGAGAGGTTTTCCATACAGTTTTCTTTCATAACCTAAATCCTCTTTATAGACAAAACTGTCATCAGACATTTGCTAACTTACAATTTATATAACCCCTTTCTAAAAGAATTTACCGAATATTGTGATTGATGTTTATTGACTGAAAGTTATTGATTGATTTATAACAGGGTTGTATCAAGAAAAGCTAAATTAGATATGACATTGATACATCAAGCACCAAGTCTATTAAATGAATTTTATCAAGTACAGATAGTTATACAGAATAAAGAAGATAGCAAGATTACTGATGTCAGGTAAATAATCATACAATATTTACACAATCAAAAATATATTAACAAAACTCTAACAAGGAACAGAAACCTAAAAATAACAAATTTCATAACAAATTTTTAGGAAGGTTTCTTTGAAGCTAATTGCAATATCTTCAGCTCTGAGTTTGGTAGAAAAAAATGAAATAAAGGTGGGCATAAACCATGCAGAGTGCTATGAGGAATATTTTGCCCAAACAGTGGCATTTCTGCTGCTACTGTCAATGGTTCATTTAAGTGCACCGCAGAAAATCTTGGGAAACTGTTATTGCCAACACTGGGATCGAACCATGAAACTGGTTTATGAGTCATACTCATTGAGGTACCTGTTGAAACAAACATAAACACCATCCAAACTTTATTGACATATTTAATCATTACAAGCTGCACCAATAGACTCAAATCTTGCTCCTCTTCTTTGATTTTACATGATAACAAATTAGTGAAACGCTTCACTGTTTTATTTACAGTTTATATATAGCATTACAGAATGAAGAAGAATATCCACAAGATCCTGGAGGTAATCTTTAACTTAATGTCATTAATATCCTTTCTGTTAATACATAGCTTTTCATTTTTATGTAGTCTTTCATTTTAATTACAATGTCCGTGTGTTGTGTTTGTGGTATGTTTTGTCCATGTGTTTGTCTTCTAGGTTCTCGTTTGGTTGTTATGTGTGGCGTGGTTCTAATTTGATGTTGGTTTAGCCTGATCCATGTTATTATAATCATACTTATTTTAATTACAGCTCACATCAGTATAGATAAAGCAAGTTTTAATGGTAAAATGCAAGTCAATGAAGAACTAGTTTTACCAGATTTAGAACCTGGTCAGAAAGTGAGTAATCCAAATCACAGTTATTTAAACAGAGAATACTGGGAAAGCAATACTTTTAACTTCAATAAAAAAAAATTCCTGTCTTGCTAGTTTCATTAATAAAACTAATCGTTTCGGTCTGTACATAAGGATGAATTGATCAAATGTGTGTCTTTTCACTAGTGAAAAGTTGTTTCATTATATATTGCTTACAAATAAACAATACTATTGTTATTTGTTATATTCATGAATAACAAAACAGTTCGCTTTACTTCATATTTATGATAATATGGATGTTACATGGAAACAAAAACAAACTCAGATTGTTATTCGTGCAGCTGTCTTATAAATTTGGAAATAACTGACGATTTCATATTCCTGTACAGTTAATGGATTGATTCGTAGATCTTTATTACCAAATAAAGAATAACGTAACTCTTTGTTATTTGTGATTAATGAAATATAACTTCACACCACTTAAATCTTACTTTTTGTAATTTTTCAGTTGGAAAAGTGTTTCTTTATGAAATGTTTTCAACCTGGTGCAAGATCCATTTTAACAAAGGTAATTTGATTTTTTGTTGCTTTATGTTAGAATTTAATTTTCCGAAATCTATCAAAAATATCCAGAAGGTGTGAAATATAGAAATAACTATTCAAGAAAATATTTGCAGGTGTACATGCAAATACCATTAAGATATGTTATTGGAATTTAATGTGTTATGTTATTATTAAGTGAACTATAGTGTAACAGTTTGTATACAAAGTTTGGCTTGTTATGTTTTATGTTATTATACAGAGTTTAACATGTTTTAATGTTATTATTAGGTGAAATATACTGTATCAGTAACAGTTGGTATACAGAGTTTAACATGTTTTATTGTTATTATTTAGTGAAATATACCGTAACAGTTTGTATACAGAGTTTAACATGTTTTATTGTTATTTTTAGGTGAAATATACTGTATCAGTAACAGTTGGTATACAGAGTTTAACATGTTTTATTGTTATTATTAGGTGAAGTATACCGTATCAGTAACAGTTGGTATACAGAGTTTAACATGTTATTGTGTAAAAGAAGAGTCTATAAATTTAACAACTGTTTCACCATTTGATGTTTCTATTAATCTACAATCAATGAAGGTAATATTTTATATTAAGAGCATTATTTTATACATGTTGCACTTGATCCGTACCTGTTTAAAGTTACTCCGGATTTTCCAGTATGATTCCCACTTTACAGTGGTGCACGGTGGAGAGTCTGGCTAGAAAGCACATATAGTCATTCGGATGGGATATAAAAACATTATTTGGAATGCAATGGAGGGCAGGCGGAAATGTACCTGTCAATGTAAAATTTCTGTAATAGTACACTGCGTGGCATATGCCTATCTTCAGAAAAGTGGGACTTTTATTTCCCACTAATGTCAAAATAGCATATGGTATAACAAATTTATTTTGTGATGCCTTCTTTCTATCTCACTTAAAAAGTGTGTAGTTATCAGAAACGGACAAAAAATATTGATGTTGTATCTTTCAAACCCTTTGGCTGATGGTATTTGAAACAGGTTAAATGGAAATGATGCCGTCTTGAAAAAATTCTTTCCCTTTCTATTTCTAAACCAAATTCAAGTATATGTACAAAATCTTAAATATATGGGGAATGCTGAATTGTGTTTATTATTATTTTTTGGTAGTTTGAACCAATGGAAGCTTTACATGCAGAAGAACCATTCTTGTTAAATCCTGAAATATCATGTTCATCACCCTGGCCTATTGAACTTAAAACTAGTGAAGTACAGTTGGTAAGTAGTAATCTATATTTATAAATTTATTTATGCTTTGAATGCCTAGTTGTTCAGATGGCATGAAAAAGGATGGCCACCCATGTATGCGTAAAGAACCCTTGACAGTTGGAATTTGGTGAAGAGTATGTGCAAACCCGACTGTTTGAGCATTGCACATGTGATCATAGTAAAACATATGACTATCAGTTAGTCTCAAAGTTATATTGTGTTTACTAGATGACTCTGTTCCATAGCAACTTGTATATGTCCGTTAAAACTATATACATGTATGTTATTTTTGCTGTGTTGTATTTTAGAGTGAATATATAAAGACACTGAGTGAAAAACATGAATCACAGATTGTTGGTGGTAAGTGAACCTTGGATTCATTGGTCACATTATCTAAGCAGTCCCAGATTTCACAGTGTACCCATTCATAAAATTAGATTATGGTATACTATTCAAAAAAAGTAGGGGATATTTGATTTTGGGGGCATAATACTAAAATATGCAAATGACTACGAAAAAAGTCACTATAGAACCTAACAGAAGAAACATTTCCAGTTACATGTGACGCCCAAACGCACCAATAGCTACCGCATGGAATGCAGGTGATGCTTGGGATCATCATGGGGGTCCAACCCAAGATTTGCACGACTCTGACTTTGAATGTTACAGTCATTGTGGCATTGAATTCCAGGGTGGAAACATCAGTTTAATTGTTTTAGTGACCAGAAAACAAATTTTGATATGCGTCGGCTTACCCAAAATGAAAGGTTACGTGCCCTTGGCATGCTACAGATCGGCACAACACAGGCGGTTGTGGCGCGGACGATGAATGTTTCTCAGTCTGTCATAAGCAGGCTATGGTCCAGATACCGTGATACACAATCTGTACAGGACAGACCACGCTCAGGTCGACCAAGGGCGACAACTCAAGCCCAGGATCGATTTATCCGTACCTTGGCCTTGAGAAATCGTGTCATCACAGCAAATCAGATCAGCGCTCGTCTTCAAACAGACACTGGTGTGAGAGTGAGTGGCCAGACGATTCGGAATCGACTGCATAGGGGTCACCTTCGCGCCCGACGTCCTCGCGTGATCCCTTGTTTGAGAGATCATCACATTCAGGCAAGACGTCGTTGGTGTAGGGATCGTCAACACTGGGATAATCGACGCTGGAGTAATGTGATGTTTTCAGATGAGTCAAGGTTCACTGTTGATTTTTTGGACAGACGTAGGAGGGTGTGGCGTCGTCGAAACGAGCGCTTCCAAGACGTTAACGTCATCAGACATGATCGATTTGGGGGTGGTTCTATTATGGTGTGGGGAGGCATCACTGTTGCTGGAAGAACGGCTTTACATGTTGTTGCAGGGCGTGTTACAGGCCAGTACTACCGGGACAACATCTTGGCAGTCCATGTTGTGCCGTTCGCACGACGTCATGGCCGCCGTTTCATCTTCCAGGATGACAACGCAAGATGTCACAGGGCCAGGATCGTTACAGGTTACCTCCAACAACAGAACATCACCACATTACCTTGGCCAGCACTGAGTCCCGACCTCTCCCCCATCGAGCATGTCTGGGACATGCTTGGACAGAGGTTACGTCAACGTCAACAACGTCCTGCCAATGTCCAAGAACTTGCTGCTGCGTTGCAACAGGAATGGGACAATCTGGACCAAAATGACCTTAGACGTCTCATTAGGAGTATGCCACGTCGGATCAATGCTTGTTTGGCAAACAGAGGAGGATTTACCCGTTACTGACTTGGTTGTGATGCTGTGGTAACTTTGCTGTTTGACCCCGGGTATCATTTTACCCTTATAATGGTCAGTCTGTGCCTTACTTAGTCTAACGATCATTTGGAATAAATCGATGAATGTGAACTTCATTTCATTTTGTCATTTGTTTCTTCGTCAGTTTCATTAGGTGACTTTAATAACACTTAAAAATCAAATATCCCCTACTTTTTTTGAATAGTATATAATACAACCTAAAGACTAAAATGTGAAGAAATAGTACAAACAGCTTGTCTGAAAGTTTAAGCTCATAATATTGAGTTGTTCAAAAGTGATCTCTAGATTTGCTTAACAGGATTACATAATATGTTTAAGGAATTTTATTTTTCACTTGTATAATTGGCTTGATAATTTCTATGATTACACACTATTAACTTAGGTAGGTATGTAGACCTGGTTATTCAAGGAGGAATATGTAGAAAGGGCCATCCAGCCACTTAGGGATGGCATGGACTTTTTGCTAACTACATACAGAAACTGAAAGTACCTCAGATAGTTGTACAGATTGATTCAATAAAATATATGTGGGACAAAACTGTAGAAAAACTAAAAAAAACACGTCTCCTTTAAAACCGCTAATTGTCATTCAACAAATGTTCAATAAATTATGTCTTCGTATATATGAATCGGAATAGAACCGTTTTTGGACTGATATTCCTTTTAGAAACACAACTTTCACAATATTTCAGTTTGCAATAATTAAAAATCTCTCAAGTGACAATCAGAGACTATAATTCAAGAGAACATTGATCATGATTTATCACACATAGTTCATTGATATATGCCATGAAAATATAATGCTGTATTACAGTATAAACATGTTATTATTTATATTTTGACAGTAAATTTAAAGAAATCAGAATGTGCTGCTGAATGTTTGTGTTTGGTTTCCCTGGCAACTATTCAGCCATCTGTATCTCTTGGTACCTACACAGTTCACTGGAGAAGGTAAAAAAAAAATATTCTTATTACAATATTGTCTGTGGGGAAAGTATAGGGTTTAACTCTTTATCAAATTCCAGTTGTCAAGTTTCAAAAATAAACAAAGATATACAGGAAAACACATTGTTTTGAAAGATCCAAACATTCTAGAAATTTGTAAGTACATGTACATTAAAAATTATCCAGAAATTGATCATTTGAATTAAATCCAGTATTTGAATGGTGACATGGAATATATTCAATATGATTCCATTTTGTGTAATGTATTACAGGAAAACAGATGATAAGAATAAAGGCTTACCATTTGTATCTACATCATTTCCTCTACCTACCGTTAATATAGAACATATACCTATATCAGTTAGTTTAAAATTACCAGCTTATGGTAGTGTTAAAACTTTATTACCTACATGTTACATTGTAAAGAATAGAACACCCTATATACAAGAAATAGAGGTCAATATGGATGCTAGTGATAATTTTATGTTTGCTGGAAATAAACATGTAAGTTATTTATTTTAATCTATAACTGATACCTGGGCAAAAACTTTTATAAACAAATTAAATGAACTGCGGTTTAACTTCCTACTTTTCTTCACCTATTGTGCTGTTGAAGATGGGCATATGCCATGCAGTATTCTTTGATGGAAATTTTGTCTAGACATGATTAGAAAGAGAGAGAGAAATGGGGTTTAACGTCCACTCGACACAAACTAGGTCATTTCGGGACTAACATATGGTTTAATTTTTTTATTTCAATAATTCGCTTGCGCGTAGTAGGGGTCTTTAGCAGTGGGAGGAAACCAGAGGACCCGGAGAAAACCCATGGGGTTGGACAGGCGATCCCACTCCTTGTCATGTATAACCGGGGAATCAAAACCCCGCCAGTTGACTCAATGACAGACCGTATGATACAGCGCGCACATGTTAACCATTCGGCCCCCTCTAGACATGATTAGACGGTTGGACCAAATTATTTTGTGACCCATCCAAATGACTAGATGATTTTCTATCACCTCTGACGTTTTATGTAAGAATATATTTATAGAATGTGTTTTTATTTCAGACACATTTCCGTGTTTTACCAGGAACAGATTATATATTAAAATATAATCTATTTCCACTAGTGGCTGGTCATCTTGCTTTACCTAAACTACATGTTAATATGGTTAGATATCCTAATACCATGGATGAAATTATACAGAAAATGTTACCAACTCATATCTTTATCAGGGTAAGTAATTCAATACATCATCAAGGGAGAAATAGAATAAGACATACACACACAAATACAACATTTTATAATACAACTTCATTGAACTTTCGAGTGCTTAACATACTTTTCGTAAAATGGGCCAATCA